CTCTTCGTGTTCCGTTACTTTAAGATTATCGAGATAGCTTTTCAAACTGTTCACGTCATGTTATTTTATTCTATTGTAATATTATTCATTGTTATTTTGTTGTTAGGCGTAAATAACATAATTTAATTCCCGTATTTCTATAATATGGGACCTTATAATCCGAGTAAACTACACACTATCGTTGTAAATATATCTTGATTTTATATCTGAATGAATTCTACGAACATAGTAACATAAATTTATATAAAATTGCTTAAAAATTGCATTGTAGAGTGTAATTTTATGAACTTTAATAAATTATTTAAACTTTCGTGAGACATTATAATAAACTTGTATAAAAACGGGGCCCTTCATCAGAGGGCTCCCGATACGCTCGAAACTAGGCGGTGCCGCCACCGAACGAATATATCTGAGTTTTTAGTCGGTATTTATATAACTTTAATTTTAATAAAAATGATTTTTTATAAGTATTTGTGAAACTATTACGATAAAGAAAATAAGCGGTAACTTAATGATATACAAGAATGTATATTGTGTTTACTTTCAATTTCGATATGTTTTCATTTTATTAGGTGTTAATATACAGAAAACGTGTTTCTTTCATCTGAGATGTCGCGGCGGGTGAATGCTTGTAGCGACGGCTTCCGAATCTGACGATGGATTAATGTTAGCCAAGTTGTTACCCATCGTTAAGATAGTCTAACAGATCGTTTGATCTCAGTTCGATTATCAATACGATGGTAGCGTTAACCAATCAAATAAAATTTCTATTTTGTATCTTCATCGGTTCCTTCTCATATTCAAAATGGCAGAACTGTTTTATTAAATTTTTAATTACATATCGATAAAGTCATATCGAACTTTTTAATTTAAATTATTAATGTTCATGTTCACTAATTAATTTTATCTATTAAAATGTTTATAGTTCGCCATTGTAAAGATATCAAATTTTACAACTAGCTCTTACAATTAGTCATTAAATTGCTACGATTACAAAGCAAGAGTTGTAGGTATGTAAGTTATATAAAAGGAAAGTAAGGTATCGCTGCGTAGCGCGGCAGCCGCGGGCGGACATAAATAACTGACCGCAACGCAAACAGGCGCCGTGTTTACTGCATTATTATATTTTATACATCGGGCGCACAATGCGCGGGCGCGGGCTCTAACGCGGCCGGCCTACATAATGACGAGCGCGCGGAAGGCGTAACCCGGTGGCAATCGGCCGTCTCGCTCGACGACGCCCCGGGCGCGCGCCTAAGCGAAACGTACGACCACAAATTTATTAAAACGTAAAAAAAAAACGCTGAACTGCTACCGCACTGCGCGTCGCCTCCACAGAACTAGATACATTTTTCCACGTCGACGCGTGCGAGGGAGAGCCCCAGCGAACACATCGCGGACGAGCGGGACAACGATATTTCTGTACGCGCGTCGCACGTGCAAACGGCGGGCGATGTGGGCGCTGCCGGTGTTGCGCGCGCGCAGCTACCTCGCGCTCGGGCTCAGCGCCGACCGGCATGCCGTGGCGACCGGCTCGCTTGGCCCGCGTGACCTTTACTCGGTGAACTTAGGAAGCGTCGTCTGCTGTAAAACGTCCATTAGGCCCCCTTCGAGCGTACGTCTCCGGTCTTCGCGCCGGGCGGGAGGGAAAAGGATGACGGGCGGTCGTCGGTGCCGCGCCTAAAGGTATTCGTAGAATGCGTGATCTGTATCGTTGTGGCGGGGTGGCGCGGGGGCGCGGCGGGGCGCGCGGGGTGCGGGACGCGGGGCGCGTTCGGAAGCGGTGGCAGCTCCCATCGACTCCTGGGGTTATTCTTCCTCAGGCCACTGCTGTCGGAGCCGCGCACCAGACGAGCCAGTTTTTTCTATCCGCCGCGCCGCTGCAGCCGCCCGACACGACACGCACTCGTTAATCCCGCGCCAACACGAGAAGTCGACACTAATAAATTACTGTTTTTTACTGCACTCGAACAGTCTCCGCCGCGCAGCCGACTCATTTATACGTACAAATAAACATTAATCAGCAATAAACGCAGTCGTTAGCGCCCGAACACAGTGAGTATTCCAAGCCTTTACGCTTTTCCCAATCCACGCTCTCTTAATTTGTGCTGTTCCAATTGAACTCTGCGCCCGGTCTTCGTTGCTGCTCTCTTGTCTGGCCCAGAGCATTAAGAGATAGAAGTAATAAATATTAAGAGAGCTAGCGATTGGACTTGCAATTTAAGTATAAATATTTATATTTATTTCTAATTTATTCAACGTCATGTGCATGTCAAATGTTTATTTTCCATTTTGATATCCTATTTAAATTGTAAAAAGGAATCTTATAAATATTCCAGTGTGTACATTTCATTCATGTAGTATTTTTTGGTAAATTATTACCAAATTATTTTGAACATAGAAGTCTCACAATCGATTTTTAAATCGTAAATCGATAAACTAATCGATAAAAACCTATTTAACCTATCGTATCCCAGGATATGTATTATTCAAAGATTCATAGATAAATTATCATGTAAATTGCCTTTAGCGCCTCGCTTGGCGCTATAGTTGAAAAAA